ATGTAAAATCAACTTTTTTGAGTTTTATATCATGTTATAATGTTATACTCTCATAAAAAACATGCCCAAAGCCTTGCTCTGACTCATTCATCATGTTTGAGAAATCCTGCAGTGTTTTTATGAAGCCATGCTGAGGAGCAAAACGACAGGTGGGGACCAGGAACACCTTTTGGGACCAGAAACATCCCTGGGACGTGTCTTTAAGCTGAACTTCCTCATGGCAGAGCGCACCTCCCCAGCCCCCTCCCCACACACCCCACCCATGACTCCTGCAGGCTCTCGGGTGAAACTGAAAGTGAAACCTAACTGTCTGCTGACCTCTCAACACTACTTCTCACTCAGTGAAGCTCTTTTCAGATTAAAAATACCTTTGAGGAAATATATTTTCAGATGCCAAGTAAACTGCATCATAGCAGCTTTTATCTTCAACTTTGAATAAATAACATCAAGTCTACTTTAATACATTTCTCTTTAAATTTCATTCATATTGTTGATGTGTTGTGTTGTGTTGACTCAGTAATTCCTGACTGTTTTGTAATAAATAACCAAAAACAATCTGGTTTTATCTTCATTGAGTGTTCATTGTTTCTGGAGAGTTCCCTGAATCTGACCATCTCACACGTTGGTGTAAATGAGTCCAGTTTCTAAGTTGATCAGTAAACACTGATCTGGCGCCCCCTACAGCCATGTTTCCATCCAATTTTAAAGCTAATTTTGAGCACATTTTGAAAGAAGTTATATTATTCTGTCCTATCAGCTAGTACTGGTGATGTTACAGCTGTCTGGTGACAGAAAAACAAATGTAATTCTCTTCACATTACGGGAATATCCAGGAAGACGCTGGCAGCAGCAGCAGGAGGAGGAGGAGCCAGCTGCAGCCACTACAGTTATTGGACAGGAACAGCTGATCAATGTTCACTACATCAGAACTTATTCATCTCCTCCTCTGAGCAGTAACTCTTTCAGAAAATCCACAAACCACCTCAAGTGAATGTAAAATCTGTTTCATGAAATTAAGGAAGTTTTTGTGAATTTTTCCATTTCCATCCTCCCTTTTCAAAATAATATATAGTTTAACGCTGGAGCTCAATACTTGACGTAATTGGTCGAAGCAACGGAGTTATAGACTTATGCTGATGAAGACTGACATCTAGTGGTGAACTGGAGCAACTACATGGAAAACATCCTGATGCATCTCAAAAATCAAAAAGAAAAAAATCAGTAGGTCCTCTGGATGGTTCTTCTTTAGTGAAACGTTTCGTCTCTCCTCCAAGAGACTTCTTCAGACTGATGAGTTTCAGATGAACTGGGAAACTTTAAAATTCAATGGAAACATGAAAAACTTTAAAATTCATGCTCTTATTTTGAAGGGGAAAACTAGTTTCCTGTTACCGTGCTTTCGTTTCTCATCAGTCCGTCATGTACCCAGAATGCATCAATTCAGTTTTCCAATAAACAGTTTTAAAATTACTTTATTGAAATACGTCTTGATTGATACTTCTTTAATGAAAAATCTACAACAAACAAAAGAAAAGGACAAAGAATCAGCCGAAATAGCAATCCTCATCAACTTTTTAAAGAATCAGCTGAGCAAGCCTCAACAAGTTTTTAAATTGTACACCCAGGAGTCAAAGTTCTGTTTGAGGAAATCAGACCCCCAGCAAGGGTTTATACACCACTAGTGGGCAGCACTGAATTGTACCCAGCTAGAAAATGTCGAACTGAACCTGATTTTAGAATTAGCTTCTGCTAAAGTTTCTATGCAATAAGCAGTTTTGAAGTTGCGGACCTAAATATTTTCATAACCACTTTAGAAAATGCAGAGTTAATTTGTGAATTAGCGCTGTCCACCACTGGCGATAGTTTAAATTGTGTTGATGGGAACATGGATAATGACACATTTCCATATGGTCCAGCCTTTCTCTCTAAACTCCTCAGGTTTGGATCCATTTATCAACATCAATACTTTGAGGAGACTGACCAGTTCAAAGCATTGTGCTGATTCAGTGGGATTGGTAAACTAAACTAGTTAGTGCACATTACTGTAAGCACATGTATCAGACTGAGAACAGCTCAGGGTCAGTTCAACAGACCAGTAAAACAGGCTGAAAGTGTGGCTTACTTCAGAATAATTAGTAAAAAAGAGCTTTATTTTCTGCAGCACAGCAGGGCAGTGTTAGGTCTCAGAGTTTGGATTAGCACCTGGTTTCAAACTCATTATTATGTTCAGTAAAAGTTTTCTCCTGACAAGCAGAGAAGCACTTTGAATGTGTTGTTGTGTGAGGCAGAGGAAGGAGCTTTGACCTACATGTTGGAATCACAGAGCTGTGAGGACTGGAGCACTTACACTAACACAAGTTTACATCTTTTAAATAAAGCCTCCTCACACACTGCTGCTCTGTTATCATACTAACCTGATTTATTATATGGAGTTAAATCAGTGACAGCTTTGTAAGCTCACTGTAAAAAACGAAAAGTTGGCAAAACTCAAAATTGTGAGGCAACAAACTTCAGGGCATTTTTAAGTTTTGGACTTCAACTTAACTATTTAAGTTTTGCTTTTGAGTTTGCCAAACTTTGATTTCCGTGTTTTTGTAACTCAACCAAAAGTTGTGGGAACAAAGTTTTAAGTTGTACGCACTTTGTATGCTGAGTCTTCCACTTCACATGAAAGTAGCAGTAACTTTAAAATTTAAGTTGTACAAACTATGAATATCATGTTCCTCTGACTCCAGTTATTATAAATTTTAACAACTTTAAATCCTGAATACTGTGAACTTCACTGAGTTGCAGTAATATAAATTTTATCATTGCATCAATGTTTTTTTATTTTTTTAGGAAAAATGTTTAGCTGACAGTTATCTACCACTAGCTGTGTTTCCATTGACCATGAAAATGCACAAATTAGAATTTCAAAAATAAATTTGCTCAATGTAAACATGTCAATTTAGAAAAAAATATGTTTTTTGACAAAATGTTTTTGCACTAGGATGAGGTGGTATTTCAGCCGTATCGAAATTGGTGTTTTTCGCAAAACTGCAATGGAAACACTTTTTTCGCGTCACAGGAGTCACGTGATCAACAACCGTCTGTTTCTACTGGTGAAAAAGACGATGATGAAGAAGATAACAGGAAGTAGAAGTAGTAGTAATATCACAGAAGTAATATAAAATAGTAAACTCAGCGACTACAATTTCCCAAAAACACAGCATACGTAGCCGCTCCCAAGTAGGGACTTGTCTCTGGAAAGCCTCGATAAAAGACGCCGACGTCTCCTCTGATGATGAGCGCTAGTGTCGTGGTAGCAACATGCTATGTGTTTACATCCATCGCTGCCATGTTTGTAATGACTTATCATGAGAACAAACGTATTCACGTGACTTTAATAGCATTTCTTACTTAATGGAAACACTGCAGTTGTTAAACTGTGTTTTTTCAACATTAACAGAATATTGATGTTGTTTTGTGCACATTTGTAATGGAAACACAGCTACTGTTAACTACATTAGCATGTCCATGTGTCAATATAAACACTTTAGTCAGCCATCAGGACTAGTACTTGGTGACACTTAAATGCCCCGGCCATTTTCCCTCCATATGTCTGTGACACAGACCTCTCACTCATGGTGTCGGCTAGAGTCAGTAACCAAAACTTAACACAAATGCCAAATCAATCCTGAATGTGACAACAGAACACAACTCAAAATGGTTCATGAAACACAGATTAGTGTTTACGTCTTTTTCAGAGGTGAGTTTTCAGAAAATTATCCATTTCAGCAACAAAGAGGCGGAGCCAGAACTCTGACATCTGAGCTGATAGGAGGAAGAAGCAGGAAGAGGGAAAACAAATACTTTCAAATCGAGTTTCTGCTCATTCTTTTAAGCATTATTAACACTAAAAGTTTGGACTGGATAAACACAAACCAGAAGTATAAGAACAAAAGTTATCTCTACGAGAGTTGTTCACTATGCCTTGAACTCAAAAGTCAACTCCCAAACTTGTCTTTCCCGCATTTCAAAACAAAAGCACGGAAGTTAGCAGCACTTTCATCTGTTGCAATGACCTACAACTTAGAGATATAAGTACTGACAACTCACAAAGTAATTTTGGACCAACTTAAATTATTGTGCCCAATATGTCAGACTTAATTTTTCAAGTTTTTTCAATTAAAAATTGTTCTTCATCGCACAAAAACGAAATTGGATTTTTTACAGTGCTGTCACTGATTTAACTCCATAATTTCTGCCCTGGCCACAGCAAACACTGAGTTACACACGTGTTTTAACTAAACATAAAGTCATTTCTTTAAGTACCTATCAGTCAATAAAACCAGGTCAGCTTGTTGAAGTCCTGGATTCTTACTGACTCTTCTGTGATTCGCTTCAGGCAGCTCAGGAGGCTTTTAAAGTCCAGCTGAAGGGAGTCACTGTTTTCACAGCTGCTGTTTTACATGGTCGGTTCTGTTGAGCTTGAACTAAATTACAAAGTCTGGTTAATGTAAACTGACTGACAGGACACACAGCTGATTTCTTTACTATGTAAAGTTTAGAAACACTGAAATGTAAGAACTGTGTCTGCCCTACGTCTGCTGCTTCACTCCAACTGTGTTCAACAGTCGCAGTAATCCTTTGTTTTGTGTGTGTGTGTGTGTGTGTGTGTGTGTGTGTGTGTGTGTGTGTGTGTGCGCGTGCG